TTACACACTGACAGACTGTTGCTATCAAACCGACTGTCTTGGTGGAAATCTTTAGAACACAGGTTTTTACAATCAATAAGCATCACAAAACACACTAGAAGAAATCTGAACAAAATCATATTTATTCTTTAAAGTGTGACAATCTAGTCCCAAGTCCTGTACGATACAGTATTGTCATAATATTTACAGATATTGAAATTCAAAGTATTGAGGTGAGATGGCTTTAGAATGACATAAAATTAAAATTAAATTAATCTCTTTTCCATTCCTGCAGTTTTGTCATCTGACGGTTCGAATGCGTTTCTTACCGAGGGCGTCTCTGTGATCTCCTCTCTCTCACTGTGTCTCCTGTCCTGTTGTGTGTGTTTATTACTGAGGGATTCTCTGTGATCTCCTCTCTCTCACTGTGTCTCCTGTCCTGTTGTGTGTGTTTATTACTGAGGGATTCTCTGTGATCTCCTCTCTCTCTTTCACTGTGTCTCCTGTCCTGTTGTGTGTATTATTGACCTCTCTTACTGTCTCCTCTATAATGTAATAATAATAATAATAATAATAATAATAATGTTGCTTTATTAGCCCTATACAATTTCTTGCATTAGGAATTCATCTTTTCTCAGACCCCAGCTTACTCTCCATGAGACACAGACACACAGACAGGGAGAGAAGCTTGGGGTCAGAGTGCAGGGTCAGCCATTGTACAGCGCCCCTGGAGCAGTTGGGGTTCAGGGCCTCACTCAGGGGCCCAACGAGGAGGATTCCTCTGCCGGCTGTGGGATTTGAACCGGCAACCTTCCAATCACAGGCACAGACCCTTAGTCACAGGGCCACCGCTCTGCCTCGTAATGAGTTAATTTGACTGTGCACATAAATTTCATGTAGAGAGGATATTATAGAATCTAGTGCTAGTGCCAATGTTGATTCTGCTTATGTCCTTATTAACAGACAATTATAAATATGATTTGTGTAATGTACAATATATGCCACTAAAATATGACAGAATAGACTGAGGTCAAAAATCAGAATAAATACTAGTCTGAATTAGATATTGCATTAATGCTTGTGTTAGTTGTGACTCTATTGTCTCAACAACAGTCAAAATCACACTTCATGAAGAAGACATATCCAAAGTATATATTCATCTTTTTCTTTAATTATGTTTCTGGTGACTGTGTTAGTTGTATCTATACTGTTTATATATTAGGGCCTATATCAATATGTCTTAATTGTGTCTCTAGGGTCCATACTAATGTCTCTGTGCAAGGAGTATCTCTAGGGTCTGTAATAGTGTCTGTATTAATCTCTCTGTGTGAGGAGTGTCTCTAGGGTCTATATTAGGATCTGTATTAATCCCTCTGTGTGAGGAGTGTCTCTAGGGTCTATATTAGGATCTGTATTAATCTATCTCTGTGAGGAGTGTCTCTAGGGTCTATATTTGTGTGTGTATTAATCTCTCGGTGTGAGGAGTGTCTCTTGGGTCTATATTAGTGTCTGTATTAATCTCTCGGTGTGAGGAGTGTCTCTAGGCTCTATATTAGGATCTGTATTAATCCCTCTGTGTGAGGAGTGTCTCTAGGGTCTATATTAGTGTCTGTATTAATCTCTCTGTGTAAGGAGTGTCTCTAGGGTCTAAATTAGGGTCTGTATTAATCTCTCTATGTGAGGAGTGTCTCTAGGGTCTATATTAGTGTCTGTATTAATCTATCTGTGTGAGGAGTGTCTCTAGGGTCTATATTAGGGTCTGTATTAATCCCTCTGTGTGAGGGGTGTCTCTAGGGTCTATATTAGGATCTGTATTAATCTCTCTGTGTGAGGAGTGTCTCTAGGGTCTATATTAGGATCTGTATTAATCTCTCTGTGTGAGGAGTGTCTCTAGGGTCTACTGTATATTAGTGTCTGTATTAATCCCTCTGTGTGAGGAGTGTCTCTAGGGTCTATATTAGGGTCTGTATTAATCTCTCTGTGTGAGGGGTGTCTCTAGGGTCTATATTAGGGTCTGTATTAATCTCTCTTTATAAAGAGAGTCTCTAGTGTTTATTTCAGGGTTTTTATTAATCTTTGTCTTGTATAGGTTTCTATGTTCAGTGTTTCCTTATCTTCTCAGTGTCTCTCCTTCCCTCTCAGTATCACAGAGAGCTAAGATCATGACAAGAACGTGACTTCTGCCGAAAGAATCGTCCTGCACTACTGGGATAACGTGGAACTAGACTGGACAGAAACCTCTTAGCCCGTGAGGTCAGACTCTCCCTTCTGACCAGCCCAAACACACCACCGACCCCGCTGCCTGGTTGCCAGGTGGACCAGCCCCGTGCACAGCGGACAGCTCCCTCGAGGAGCTCGGAGGTGCAGTGATCCAGAGAAGCAGAGATCTCATAGTACTGACACTCAAACAGGAGAGCACTGGAATGAGCCTCTGAGAGAGACAGAGAGAGAGGGGTTAATACAGACACACTGACTGGACACTCCAGTACATTAACACTGCACTGAGAGAGAGGGGTTCATACAGACACACTGACTG